GACCGTGTGTGTAGGCCTTGGCAGGCGAAGGTCACGCCCCTGCAGTCACGCATGCGTGACCTCAGGCAGATTTGGGGAGGGCCTGTTCACTTGACCTATGTAGGGGCCCAGCCATTTGTGTGGGCAGGGATAAAAATATGTAAGGATCCCAACTTAATTAATACTGTACAACATCACTAGTACGTCAACATCTGAGGGTCTGTAAAAAACGTTTTTTATTGAATGTGGATTTTCTGAACATTTTAAATATTAATGGAATCTCATTAAAACTGAGTCACGGCCCCTCTGAAGACTTCAAAAATGTACTTCCTCCACCAGTGCTGCAACTAGGAAGGAGGAAGTAGATTCTTTACTTAATTAAAAACACTAATACAACATTGTACAAAGTCATGCAGAGAATTTTACTTAAGTAAAAGTATGTAAGTATAATCAGGAAAATGTAGTAAAGTATTAAAAGTAAAACTTGTATACTGTTATATATGATCACGACAAGTACAAGTACCTCAAATTTGTAGAGTAAGTTTTTAAATTATAGTATATAGTACTTGTGTAAATAATACTTAGTAACATTTACATCTTCATTATTGATTAGTCTGCTGATTGTTTTCTCAGTTAATCAAATAATAATCTATAGGACATCAGAACAGTAAAAGCCAAGATGATATCATTAATCGTTGTACTTAAAGATATTTAATTTACTCAAATTTGTGAAAGCGGAGGAGCTAAACTAACTTTAACCTGTTACTGTTACTAACAATTATTCAGTTATTGAAGTACATTGTGATTAATATTGTGATTCATTATAATGGGTAATACATCAATCATTGTTCCATCTTTGTTGGTGACAGCTTTTCCTTTTAGATCCTCAGCTCTGGTCCAAAAGCCAGTTGCATGTCAGACTGTCTGGATAGTTCCAGATTAACCACATTGTTTCTTGACGCTTCTGTAGGAAACACATTATTTCGTCGTTGCACTGGCGCACTACAGATTGTCGATAACCACGTGGTGTTATTCACCCCACTCAGGTGCTGATTTGTCGAAACTACAAAGGCGATGTGGACATGGCAGAGATCGACCACTTCATGCCTTTACTCATGCAACATGAAGAGGAGGGGCTCCTCTGCCCTGTGCTGTCACATGGCAGTGTTCACTTCATGTGGATCAAACACAGCAACCTGTACCGTATCCTTGTCGTAGATGTTACTGACATCCAGTTATTGAGATCTGTGACAGAAATTCATTCATAACATCACGTCCTTCGACTGTAACAAAACATTAATGTGCAAAATACTCCTTGACCTGATCTCTGTACAGTGGTGGCCACTACAAACAAGAACGCCAACGCCTCCCTTGTGTACTCATTTCTATACAAACTAGTCGAGGTGAGTGGCACATACAGACTTATATTTGTTGTAAATATTTATTGTGCAGTTTGCTAGGATTAGCTTGTATTTAAGTGACGAACCAGTGGAAGATGGCAGCCAAAGATAGTGAAAATCCAAAGTTACCCTGAGCCACCACAGATAAGGCCGATGTCTATTGTGCAGGTGTTCACAGAGTACTTCAAAGAGCTGGAGGAGGAGAGCATTCAGGACAATTTTGTGGTTGTCTACGAGCTGCTGGATGAGCTGATGGACTTTGGATTCCCTCAGACTACCGACAGCAAGATCCTACAGGAGTGAGACTCTGCAAGATACACATACACGCATGCAGACATATACATATTCTGTATCTTGATAAAGAGTTGAGTCACAGTGGGCCATCTCTTCTCAACTCATCTCTTGCAGATACATCACTCAGGAAGGGACCAAGCTTGAGGTGGCAAAGTCCAAGGTGCCGACCACTGTCACCAACGCTGTCTCCTGGAGGTCAGAGGGAATCAAATACAAGAAGAACGAGGTCTTTATTGATGTCATCGAGTCCATCAATGTACTGGTAAGACAGGATGTAGGGCTGATTTATTATTTATATATGTCCGAGCTGTTATACTTTTAAAAAATCCACTTGTTTTGTTAATCACAGGACATTTTTTCTCATAAAAGTTACAGTAGATTGTTCAATTGGGCACAGTATAATATTAACACGATATCTTGTAATTTTTTCTCAGCTTACTGTTTATTTTAACAAACTTAATATTACCATTGTGTTTTGTTTTTCAGGTGAATGCTAACGGTAGTGTGATGAGCAGTGACATTGTGGGTAGCATCAAGCTGAAAACCATGCTCTCTGGGATGCCTGAACTGCGGCTGGGCCTCAACGATCGAGTGCTTTTTGCTCTCACTGGACGTACGTATGGGACTTCTGTCTTACCACATCCATCTGTGTACGTCTGCTTTAGTTATATTTAGATTAATACCACTGATTGTATTGCGTTGTGTTCAGGTGACAAAGGAAAGACGGTGGTGATGGAGGATGTGAAGTTCCACCAATGTGTCCGTCTGTCACGCTTTGAGAGTGATCGAACAATCTCCTTCATTCCTCCAGATGGGGAGTCTGAGCTCATGTCCTACCGCATCAATACCCATGTTAGTCCAATTCAGTACCTTGTATTCACACTAAATTGTTTATATTTGTCACTTACACCATGTGCCATGAGTCTTACAGTGCTATGAGTGTAAACACATGACTTAAATTTTCCTTATCTGGACTGTTTATCTAATGAGCCATGATCCTATCATAATCTCGCCTTAAACATATTGTCTTCACACAGGATATGAGCTTTAAAAAGACTCTGCTAAAGGAGTATTCAAAAGAGACTTAAATAAAAAACTCAAAAGTATTTTTTATGCTGCTTGTAAATTGTAAAATGGTTTGTTTGATGAAACCCTTTCATTCATCTCTTACAGGTGAAGCCTCTGATATGGATTGAATCAGTCATAGAGAAATTCTCTCACAGTAGAGTGGAAATCATGGTTAAGGTAACTCACCGAGTGTATTTTTAACTTCACTGGCAACAAAATTACAAACCTTTCTATGAATATGTTGTGTCACTGTTAACACTATGCTTTAAAAAGAAAAGTGTTTAAGCATGAAAAGCACAAGAATTAGATTATTATTATTTTTTTCTGTCATGTTTAATACACAATAATACCACATACTACCGTTAGAGTAACAGTTAAAGTTGCATTTGCGGGGTGCCCATTAGCTTACCTGGTAGAGCCGGCGCCCCGTGTACAAAGGCTGAGTTCTTGCTGAAGCGAAGAAGGAGTCAAATCCGACCTGTGGCCCTTTCTCTCTCTCTCCCTCCCCCTTTTCCTGTCAGTCTTCAGCTGTCCTGTCCAATAAAGGCAAAACTCCATCAAGAAATAGGCTTTAACAATATATTCTCTCATATTGTGTTTTTAGGCAAAGGGACAATTTAAAAAACAGTCTGTGGCAAATAATGTGGAGGTGAGGGTCCCTGTGCCCAGTGATGCTGACTCACCCAAGTTCAAAACCAGCACAGGAAATGCCAAATATGTGCCTGAGAAGAACCTGGTGGTGTGGACCATTAAGTCTTTCCCTGTAAGCAATTCACAGCTACACTGAATTCACTCCCTTTAATGTATATTGCATTGTATTTTACATTCATGTCCATCTCTCTGTATGTCTAATACATTCGTCTGTGTCTGCATCCACCCCTCCAGGGAGGTAAAGAGTTTCTAATGAGAGCTCATTTTGGTCTGCCCAGTGTGGAGAAAGATGAGCTTGAGGGAAAACCTCCCATTACTGTCAAATTTGAAATCCCATACTTCACAGTCTCGGGAATACAGGTGTGTGTGCATGCAGGTCTGTGTGTTTATACTGAGGCTCTCCTTTTAATGTCAAAATAACCACAAGAATATCACCCTGTGGTAGTATTAGTCTCGTCCATCTGAGAGAAAAACACTTATTCTGGATCTGAAGCGTGTCAGAACATGTTAAATGTTGTTTTATATGGACAGTTTTAAAGCTCTAAACATAAAATGACACAACTGCTTTGCATTGAGCATTTACAAGCCGTTACATAGTCAAGTCAGGTCCTGCGAGAGCTGATATTGTGTGCTAGACTGGCAAACAAGATTTGATTTTAATTGGTATTGCACATTAATGTTACTTGCCTCAACATGTTGTGCGTCTCCCTGTCTCTTTTTCACCAGGTGCGATATATGAAGATCATTGAAAAAAGTGGTTACCAGGCTTTACCGTGGGTCCGGTACATTACACAGAGTGGAGGTACATTAATAATTTTTTCACTAAACTTCAATATAATGTGAATACTTGCAACATATTGTACTGTTTTAAAAGCAAGTGGTCACACATTTAATGACTTCAAATGTATAATTTCTCCTTACATTTGTTCTCTTTTTATTTAGACTACCAGCTAAGGACCAATGTGTAAAGCCTGGCGGATTACTCTATATTCCTCACTTGCAGCACTTCCAGAGGAGCATCAAAGATCACTTTGACTTGACTGAAAGAATGTTTTTAAATTTCACCTGCTCTGTTTAATATCTTGTTTTTATCAAATCTGTGTGCAACTTGATTTTAATGTTTCTATTGTGGGACCACTGCAAATTATTTAAATGCTTAATGAAATTATTCCCTCCAAACAATGTCTCATTGGCAACCATTGTATTTTTGTTGTGGCCCTATTGTTTTTCTCATGAGTTTGCAATGGCACATAAGGGCAGATGTTGTCCTCATATTGTAGTAAATGCATTGTGTAATCACAGTCACTAAATTCCGCCTAAAATTAAAAACTTACACCCGCCTTTTTTCCACACTTGCTTCGGGAGAAATACAACTAAAGGTCAGAAATGTGAATGAACTGCCTTTGAAGACCTCAACGTATACGAATCGCCCGCTTTCTTCACCACAGCCTCTGATTGGTCGACCGCTGCTGTTACCACAGTGATAGCGTAGAAACAGAGTTGTAACGCCGCCCCTTTTACCATATATGGAAGAGCAACACCCTCTGGGCGAGCTGTGATTGGTCGGCGTGCGTTCTCTCCAATGTTTGTAAATTGTAGTCTGGACACACCGCTGTGTAGATCTCAGCGCGCAAATGTATTTTCTAATGTTGATAAACCGCCACTGTTTGGATTTTATTTGAAATTCACTGGTCTTTAGAAAACAGCGGGATATAAACTCTTACCGACGTTGTGGATATCGAGGAACCGAACAAGGTATGTTTAACAGCTCTACAGTCGGTCCTCTTTTTAACGTTAGCGGTTAGCCCGGATGCTAATTGTTTATAACACTGAGTTGACGTGAGCCGTCTCTCTCTCTCTGTCTGTCTCCATAGAACAACTGCTTTCACACCGCTTTGTTAACACGTACGTTTTGTTGAACCCACCCGGTGTAACGTTACGCTAGCTACAGTCCGATAACATGGCGTCAACGGGGAACTGAAGCGTATGTTAGCCGGATGCTGTTAGTGGCTAGCTGTAGCACGAAGTTAACCTTCCTGAATCCAGGTTTCATCTGTTCACTGCTCATTACAGCGTTACCACCACCGGCCCGCGGCTGACTGTCGATGTGACTGTTGTTGTTGTTGTTGTACATCTACAGAACAGGCAGAGAGAGAGAGAGACTATAATGGTCCTTAGTCAGATGGATGCCGGTAAAGCTTTGACGGCGGCAGCAGCCAGAGGGAACAGCAGCGAGGTGCAGAGGATCCTGGAGGAATGCAGATTGCATCCGGACACTCTCAATGAATTTGGCAGGACTGCGCTGCAGGTGAGGACCGCTTCTCCGAAATGTCCTGATTCATATTCCCCAAGGTATTAAATATACTGTTAGTACGTTAGTTCGGATGGTTCTTCGGTTTGCAGACACATCTCCTTACCGCCTCATAATGACCGTGCTGCAGGCTGTAATGGATGTGTTATGTTTTTATGTTAGAATTAAGTGCGTGGGATTGTGTGGAAAGCACTGTTTGATGATTTGACCTGTTAGAAATGCATAAAAAAAAGAGGATATACACTCAGGTGCCATGTTATTTATTAGTGCAGTGTAATACAACAGGCCTGTTATAAATCCTACCTTCATGAAGGTTATACTGCCATGTTATTTATTAGTTATTTATAAACTGCTTTAGAGCAGTGTTGATTAAACTTAATGGTCATTTTGGAGGTTGTACTTGGTGGTGCTGTTAAATTGTGTTTAATTGAGGAAAATGTCCATTGCAGTTTTCTAAACCTCCAAGTGTTGTCTTCAAATTGCTTGTTCAAAAGCCAAAGATATGTGATTAACTGTAAAATAACAAAGAAAAAGCCAGCCTCACATTTGAGGGAATGTCTGCCTGATAATTGACTTTAATCTTTAATTAATTATCCTAATTGTTGCCAATTAATTATCTGTAAAATAAAACAGTGAAATACATCAACAGCTCTCTAAAACAGTTTCAACAACAACTGAACATAAAAGCCTTCATGAAGGGAGGATTTATTCCAGGACTGTTGTAATTGTGTGTACTTGATAAACTGATTGTATAAAGGTGAATGTCAATAAATATTGTTTTACTCTTTACGGTCTCACTTTACAGATTGTGTTGGAAGTGACTTTCAGGACTAAAATAAAACACTGAATTATTGATTAAGCTGTTGAAAGTCTCTGTATTTGAGAGAATCCAGACAAACATTTACACAATGGTGGTAAATGAACTCTCCTCTTCTTCCCCTCTCCTCTTCTTCCCCTCTCCTCCGATATCGGCCACAGGTGATGATGATGGGAAACTCCAAGGTTGCAAGTTTGCTGTTGGAAAAAGGAGCAGACCCCAACATGCAGGACAAACACGGGATAGCGCCTGTGCACGATGCAGCCCGGACAGGATTCCTGGACACTGTGCAGGTTCTGGTGGAGTACGGCGCTTCGGTAAACATCCCGGATCAGAGCGGCGCCCTGCCTATCCACATTGCCATCCGGGAAGGCCACCGAGATGTTGTGGAGTTCTTGGCACCGCGGTCCGACCTGAAGCACGCCAACGTCAGCGGTCAGACGGCCATAGACGTGGCCCGAGCTTCATGTGTGCCCGATATGATTGACTTGCTTTTCGCTCACATTCATAGTTAGTCTGGGTGCTGGGTGGGACCCTAACCTAACCCTTATTTTTGCTTCAAACCTGGTGACTTGAATTCATTGCTGTGTAAAGGATTATTTTTTGTTAATAGTGGCTCAGCATTAATGTGTCACAGGCAGCTTCTTTTCAGTGGATGGGTGGCTATATACAGTAGACACCTCTTTTGCACAGTGCAATTTAGGCACCTTATATATCTGTTTTCCCTATTAATTGGGAGTGCACATTTGTAGATAGTTTCCCCAGTGTTTTGTAATTATTGCATTATTTGTAAGAACAGTTGTGTATGTTTTTTTTTAAAAATTACAAAACTTGACATGGTGCACCCTGATTGCTTTTCATAGTTTTGTTTCTCTTAATTAGATGTACTTAGACTTTGAATTTACTCTTATTTATTGTTGGAATAGGACTGAATATTCCCGTGACTTTGTAAATAGCAACATTTATTGTGATTTGTTGAAATGTTATTTATATAAATACTTTTAAAACAAAAGTGATATCATTCACTTTAATATTTGAAGAAGAAAGCACAAAATAAAGTGTTAAACTTGAACTGAAGTCATTGTTTTTATTGTATACAGTATACTGATTTAGCTACCATTGAAGACACTGTGGTCATTTATGTATGTTTCACTGATAACATGTTTTCTTTAAGGAAATGTATTTAGCTTTGAAATTTAGACCATTGTGTAGAGCAGTTTTTCCCAACTTGGAGGACAGTCCCCAATGAAGAAGGTAAATCTTTGGGAAGATGACAAAAACAACATTTTGATTCATAAAAATACATAAAAAAAACTTCTTTCTTCTTTTGTCTGACTTCTCTTAATGCCTTTTCTTGTGAAATAGTTGAAAGTTGTACCCCTTCTGGCCAATAAGACTTATTTAAACCCTTAATGTGATAATCACTGGTGACAAATGCAAGAAGGGCTGCTAAGTAGATTCATCATTTCGTTTCATTTTGAGCGGTCATAAGTCTTAAAGGTTGTTAACCACTGATATTTCTTTAAATTGCAGAACTGAACCATAGACTAAATCTATTTAGGGTCATTTAATTTGTCCAATTTCAGCTGCTAAAGGGGCCTTTGTCAACCCACATTAATAACATTTCCCTTTACATTCATAACGATCTGATGTATTCTGCCTTAAAACAATGCTTTCTGTACTTCGTTAACTGTGCTACATAATCCAAGTGTTAGGTACTTCCCCAAGGTGATTCATCAAGGGCATTTATAATAACTCCTCACTGGAATGCGCTGCGCTGTGAAAACCCTCTCAAAGGTCACACAGATAGCAGAATCGCAACTCAAAATGAATGAGGGCCCTGTTTTGTTGAGGCTTGTAGGTAACGGTGGCACCACAGTTTGCTGATGTTTGTGCTCAGGGCTCGTATAGTACAATGGGTATTTTGTTTGCTTGTTTGCCACGGGCCAACTTCAGCAGCCAAAAAAGGACATACAGTTCAACTACTGTGCTACCGGACCGCCGCGGAGAGCCTCATCATGTCACAGAAAGACCATGTATGTTAGTGTGTGAAATACTGTACTTTTTACTCAACTACATTTATTTGCCAGCTATTGTTATTAGTTACTTTACTGATAATGGTATATAATAAAATGTGTTATACATTAAAGTACCCTGCAAAATATAATGTAGATCAAACGGGCTCCACCTGAAACCAGCTACAACATTAAAATGCATTAATAATACAAATATAACACTTATAGGCCTTATGAGTACTGAGTGTTTGATACATTTTATATACATTTGGCCAATAATACTTTTAGCAGTCTTTTCAAGTAAAACTTTGAATGCTGGACTTAAATAAGAGCTTCAAATACTTCTTCCGTCACTGGATTTAATATCCTGCAGTCTGCAGTTTCATGTTGTTTTCACCTTCCTGTTTTCAGATTTACATAGTCCCACACGTCGCCTCCAGCTAGGAGCTGCGCAGTCCAACCACAGTATTTGACTTTTTGGGCATTGAACAACTCTACTGAAGCGGCCCGAGGTGAAATGCCTGCCTCAAGGGTACTTCCGCAGTAGCTGTTGAGGAGGAAAAAAAGGAGTCATTTACTTCCCCTGCCCAGATTTTCCTAGCTTGTCTTCGGTTTTGAAACAGCTTCTGGTCATCTTTTGCGCCACCACTCCCTTATCTTGTGTAATAAAGACACACAACCTCAAATAATATTTCAATACATTTCCACACCCTACACAACTAAATCAGTCACACAGTTGTAAACATGAAAAATGCAGCCTCAGACAGACCTCCCTCCCGCCACTAGGTAGAGCTCCCTGACTTCAGTGAGGACAATTGTGGGTGTGTTGTTGGATATACAAATACTCTCTGTGCAGTATAAACACTGTTGTGGTTTGTTTGTTCTGAAAGCTGGGAGAGATACAGTTACAGGGACAAGTTTGCGAGAAGCAGTAGGAGTAGACAAGAAAAGCCAGTATCAGCGTTCTCCCTCACTCAAATGGTCAAGCACACACAGACAGATGACGACAACAATGAGACAAGTGTCTGATGGGAGAACTTTTGTTCCTGTTTGAGATAAGAGAATATGATAAAGGAATGAAGTGTTTAACACACCCGTCTGACTAAGTGCATGTTTACACCTCTTTTTTGGGGTGTTTTTGCCTTTCTTAGACAGATGAGAGCTGAAAGTAACTGAAGCAAGAGAGAAATGGGGGATGAAGTGCAAAAAAGGCTGCCAACCAAAGTCAAATTGAGGATGTCGCATGGTCACAATCTTAGACCCCTCTTCCTAAGGATTGTCCCTTAGCTCTCTGTCAGAGCTGCATCAATTAGTTGATCGAAAGATATTCTGTTAATTGCTAAAGTCATTTTTCAAGCAAACATACCAAACATTTGATGGTTTCATGTTATCAAATATTAGAATTTGGACTGTTAGTTGAACAAATCATCCTGGGCTCTAGAAACTTGTAGTGAGTGGTTCACAAATGTTGTATGAGTGTAGGATTTAGTCTAATCTATCTGTGTAGTTTCAGATTGCAGCTCCGTTGTTTCAGTCTCCCCTTGCAAGCTTGAAGGAGAAACTACGGTGACTGCAAAACAAGAGCCGCAAAACACCCCTAAAGCCAGTTTTTGGTTTGTTTGAGCTACTGTAGAAACATGGCGGTTCAACACAGCGGACTCCTTTGAAGGCGACTTGCAGCGCTTGTAGGTACAAAAGACTCTGTTATGTAAACATAACAATTCTTATTTTCAGGTGATTATACACTTAAGAAAACATAGGTATGTATATTATATTACATTTTTGACAATAGCTTCTCCTAAATGTTACACACTGGACCTTTAATACAATGATCACATGCCCACATGTACACTGAAAAGGTGAATTGGTCTAACACAACTATATTGTAAGGAATAGGGGATGAAATCCACAGTTTTATGCAGTTGTTCTGTATAGAAATGCATTTTGAAGTTCAGTTGAAGCCAATATGAGGCTAAATCAATCTCTTTTTGTTTCCCCTGGACTGTGTTTGCTTGCTGAAGCCTCACCTCACAGCCTGTATGGACAGGAAAATGATGTATATAGGTAAGTATGTATGTATGTAATGTATGGGCATGTGAGATTAGAAAAAAAAATACAAACCTATGATTTTCGCTACATAGAGATCTCCTTCATGGGTGTTATGTGCAATAACAACCAAGATAGGCACACCAGAACATGCTCTATTAACCTTAAAACTGTCTACACTTTAACTTCATCAAGTTGCAGGAACTCTATCTTGACATTGGAACAACAGAAACTCCCAATGTGATTTTCCTATTCAAATGTAAACACCGCATTAGTACAATCAGACCTGAAGGCACGCCCCACTAATATGACTGTCGAAGCATTTCAAGCTCAAGTCAGTACACCAACTATAACTGAAGATATCACCCCTAACAACTCAAAGCAACCCCCTTGGAGACAGTCGAGCCTTAGTCGCAATGACGTGTTTTGGTTAATGCTGGTGACACGCTTGACTGTCATCTTCAGAGAGGAAAATAAATAAGTAAATGATTGACAAAGCATTGTGACATTAGGCATACAATTTCTACTGCGCAGCTTCTTTCTCTTTATATTTTGCCAACTTTCGGCACTATACTCGAATCCATCTAAATGATAAAATACAAAAGAAAAAATCTTTTCTCACAGCCTTGCAGGCATGTGGCAGCGTGGGCAGGTCAGTGTATGGAGCAGTATTACAGAGGTATGTCCTTAACTTGTACTGTAGCATACAAGCCAGGACACGTCCGCACTACAGTTCAGGCTGAAAAGTGGAAGCCCTGGCTGAGGTGTATAAGTCTGTTATGCGTGTCTAGGATGAGACACAATGTTACACAGAGGGAATGCAGGAGGAAAGAAAGAAAGAAAATGGGTGATTGTTTGTATGACAACGACTTCCAGTTTAGCAACAGACCTTTAAGTAATTTTATTTCCTTGTGTGAGTGTGTTCAAAAGGCACTCTAAATGTATCTGCACCAGAGTATGATGTGCAAATTCTGCAATCAAATAAACCATTTTACAGACAATAGTTCTATCTTGCTTCTCTCTGTAAATGATTAATTATTGAATCCTGCACACTGACTACCACACTGACTTGACTTTCATCTGACTCATAATCATACATATGATATCAGTCTTTTCTCCATTTGACAGGATACGTAAACAAAGAAATGAATACCTTTTATATGGCTACTGAAAGGCTTTCTCTCCTTCCACTTGTTTAGTGCCTGAAAGGGAGCAACATGAGCCACCGTAATGTGGGAAACACTTCTCCATGCTGTTAAAAGCTGTCCAACAGGATACAGCACATTTAGAAAACCTGTTGACTTGTGGTCTGAAGAATCCACAAAATATTCAGCAAATTAAACACGATTCTGAGTGAAAATGCTGCTTCAGAACAATCTGAAGGTCGAGCCTTGTCTCTTCCACACAACCGTAATCTAACCCTGAATTTATAATATTTCTTGTTAAACTTAAACTTACTGTGTGATCTACACCAGTAAAAGCAACTCCATGAAAGTCCAGTTTATACAGGAAACATATAAACTTTGTAAAATATTTATTTAAAAGTATTTTTAAGAAAATGCATAAAAAACATTTTCAAAAACATGTGCAAGTTGATTTTTTACTCACTGACACAGATTTAAAAACACATTTCACAGATTTTATAAATACGATTTTCAATGTTTGGTTATCGTTTGTTGTCTGTTAGGATTTCCCTTTTTGTCCTGTCTTTCCGCCCAGTGTCATAGATTCACTCTCTGTTAATACTCTGTTTTCTCCATGCAAGTGAGACCGCCAAGCCACACAGAGCAAAGATGAGTCTGTAGAGTCTTCATCTCTGTAGGCTCAACCGTTAGTCAACCTGTTTCGTACATCTGATGGCAGCAGATCCAGCAGATTGTCCTCTACTACCAGTCCACTGATAGACAGCAGGGGACAGTCCACTATCTCCACAGGGAGAGACTCCAGACGGTTCCCTTTAATCTCCAGCCGGACCAGCTGGGCCAGGTTGGCCACTCTGGAGCTAAGAAATGGCAGGCAGTTGTTGCCAAGAGCTAGCATCTTTAGCCTTTTACAGGAGAACAGCTCCTCTGGCAGTGTCTCTAAAGAGTTGAAAGCAGCGGAGAAGAACTGGAGGCTCTGCAGGATGCCCACCTCAGGAGGAAGAGAGGTGAGCTGGTTGTGGGAGACATCTAGGTGCCTCAGTTTGGTGCAATAAAACAGCCGAGAGGGAAGCTTGCGTAGCTTGTTCCAGCTAACGTCCAGCGTCTCCAGGGAGTGCAGCTTACTGATATGATCAGGGATGTAAGTGATTTTGTTGTGCCACAGTCGGAGTGTCACTAAACGCCGGCAGTGCTGTAAGCTCAAAATCTCCTCCACAGTGGTAAGTTTGTTCTCCTTCAGGTCCAACTCCTGCAGATTGTTCAGGCTGAAGACAGCACTTGGGATGCGCTCTAACTCGCAGCCCGCTAACTCCAGTGAGACTATGTTGGTTAACTTCTTCAGGCTGCTAAAAGCTTGGAGCTTGACACCCTCGTTATGGATGCACAGCCGCTGCAGCTGCAGTGCAACATCCACTATGCTGGGTGGGATCTTATTAAGGTTGGAGCGGAGAGTGAGGACTCTCAGCGCTCTAAGCTCTCGAAAGGAGTCCAGAGTGGCACTTCTGGAAACCTCATTGGTTAAAGGACCATTCAGATATAACTCTTCAAGGCCATGCAGGGTGTACATCCACATAGGCACCTCTTCTAAACTTTCAAAAGCTAGACGTAGGACCTTTAAATTGGCCTTGAGGTGGTTCAGGGCAGGCAGCTGGAGCTTTGTAGGGCAGTAGATCAGCGATAACTCCTGAAGGGCTTCTAGCTTTGCCACACCAGCTGGAATGGTGACATTTTTTACTTGCTCCAGTTTGAGCGATTCCAATTCAGGAATTTCAAAGACTGTGTCGGGGAGTCCTGGCAACATTAACAGGTGGAGCTCCAACCGGTTGCTCGTGTTCCTGGCGAGACGGGCATGCAACTTTTTGGCGGTCCACTCATAGTTGAGGTTGAGCTGATGAAGATGGCTCTCGCTGACCTCAGAGAGAAAGACAGCAAATCTTTTAGAGTACAGAGCATCATATTGGTCGACAAGGTGCAGGAGGAACGCAAAGTCATTTTTCACGTCTGGTATGTCGTTAATACCTGTCTCCAGTCTGACCTGCTCAAAGGAGTACTCCTTCAGAGGTCTATGAAACAGCCAGTAGAGGGTGTAGATGCACAGAACTCCGTACACTCCCACGAAGCAGATATAGCAGTACGCAAGCTTGGAGAAAAGATGGGCTTTGTTGTGGTTACAGCAAAAGATATCAAAACCAGTCAACTCAGGAGGAACATAACAGCGCACTACTATCTCAATGTTCGGTACCAGCACTGCAGTGTAGATAATGATTAAAAGGAACTTGAAGACTTTCAGTGATGTTTGTAGCACATACATGACATACAAGATGTCCGCTTCCTCTACATGAGTTCTGAACTTCTTCACCTTTTCGAACAGAGCTTTGGCCTGCTCTCCTTCCTTCTTATCCAATACGGAGGGGGTCGACTGAGGCTCTAGACCTTTCTTCTCTGGATTAGACTTTACGGACGAGGAGCGGAGAAGCCCTGTCGTCTCCTCGTCATCTGCTCGTCGATCTGTGGGATCTTTTGACATGGTGTTCCTCCTCCAACTAACCAGTTTCTCCTCTCCTCTCTCCTCAGAAACCTCACTCAGGGCCCTCGTGGTCCAGGGTGAATCAAAGCACTTCCCGAGGATGGTAACAAAAAGGTCGATTTTAGACGATGTCCCAGGGAACTTGAACCAGAAGCTGCTTGCTACCATGAATAGCATAGTGTGGATCACAACCAGGTATGGGAAGAACTTTGCATACCAGTGGACAAACCTCTCGTAGCAGTAGTGGTTGACAAACACGTACTGGTGGATGTCCAGGTTGTTCTTGCGACCAACCACCTCCAGGATGATGGGGTTTACAGGTTTGACCAGTGTGTGCTGCGATGTCTCATTCTCCCTGTAGGACCGAATGTGGCTGCAGTCGATAGCTTCAGGTGTCGGGCTGGTGAAGTGGCTGGGCAGGCAAGCAATCTTGTCTTGGGTGAGCTGTGGAAAACAGAATGAAAGAATAAATGAGGAGGAGAAAGAAGAAGGGAACACATACACCAAACAGTCTTTAATTGTACCATTCAAGTCAAAGTATGTCTGAATAGACGACAATATTATTTCCTTGTATTCACCATCTTTGTTTAAGACGAAAAAATAAATTCAAGTAAATGTAGCGGAACCACACTCCCAAAGTGATCCATTGTTTCAACATTTTAATGTATATAAACTGCTACATACTAACAAATTAGAGGTAAAATTTTAATAAAAAAAGCAGAGAAAGTAAAAAATGTAGATGCCACAGAGTATCAGGGGACTATATTTAGAAAGTGTGGTGGTCAATAGTGGTTCATTCTCAAACTTTATTTATTTATTTGTATTTGTCACCCATCCATATTTTGTATCTAAAAAATGCTTTTCACAAATTTGTAACTATTTTAACATATTTGGTGCTCTAGGGAGTTTTTACAGCAGCAGGATGGTGTATATACTACTGACTTAAACTAAATTACAATGCCCATGCTTATTAATGAAGGAACATGTCTCCCAGCACAACAGTGTTTATATATATATATATATATATA